GCATTTGTTGTCAATTGGTGCTAAATAAATTATCTCAATTGAACAGAATTATTTGATGATGGACACCTGATGACCAGACGATTCAATGTGGTTTTTACAACCCCGGTTGGCCTGTCTGACCTTTCAACCTGAAGGGACCAAACATGCTTAGCGACTGGGTTTATCTTACAAAGATGACGGACACCCAAAGAATATGTCCCCAAATGATTCCAAAAAAGTCCTGTGACAGACTGGCGACCTGTCCAGGGTGACCCCGCCTCTCGACCGAAACGTTCGCTGGAGATGGGCACCAGCACCTCTCCTGACCCCACTAGGGATAAGGGTGTTAAATGGACGGATGATTCTGAAAAACACATCCATGCATTTAACTTTAGTTGCATATTTGCAAGTGTCTTACAGGTCTGAATAAAAAGTCGGACATCTGCAGCTGATCCAGAACGCAGCTGCTTGAGTCCTTGCTAAAACCAGGAAGTTAGAGCACATCACCCCAGTATTAAAGTTCTTACAGTGACTCCTTAGAGAGAACATCAGGCCAAAACCTATTGTCATTATCAAAATAAGTGGATATAAACTAAATTTAATTTTAGTTGCATAATTGCAACAGTGTCTTATAGGTCTGCCTAAAAAGTCTTATTTTGATAGAAATAGATTCTATTATCAGTCATTCTTTTAGCCTCCTAAAATTTCCATTCCACCTTTGTGGCCATCCCAGGTTTCATGTTTCTCAAATCAAGCCAATTGTGTCCAGTTGCTCAGTGGCATGTGCTAAAGACTGGAAGACATTAGGAACGTCCAGATTAATTTTCACCTTTCAGTGTCTTAACGTTGACGCTCCCTACGAAGTTCTAAGGACTACCTTTGTGGGAAAGTTGGAGAAGTAACCTGTGGACTGATTGTTTTGTTTTGTTTTTTTTTTAACCTTTTCTCTGTGCAATGCAGCCCAGTAGTAGCTATATAGCTATTTGAATCCCTGGCTCAGCACAGGTTATAATTCTGTTGAGTCTACCTCTTGACTTTAGTCCCCAACAATTTCAAATGACTTTCTTACTGCAATCAACCATAGTAATGATGAAGGAAAGCTTTTGCTGATTTTTCCTACTGTGTTCAAAGACAGAAATGCATTTCAACTTTGCCACTGGGGCATTAGTACCTTGAAAGTCTGACAGAAATTAATAATCAAAGCCAGACTTTGACACATATTTGAATGTTTTAAGGCTGTAGTCTTATAATTTTGATCTGCCAATTACCAGTCTTATTTAGTTTAAATGCTTTTATTTTTTAACTCTTCCTTCTCTTTCTTCACCTTGAATTTGACCAATTCTGATCATTTAAAGTACACTACCACTAGAAAATGAACAGATAGTTTGGGAATCACAGGACTGGACAGTTTGCATAAGATTCTAACATGATTCAACCTAACAGCTATCATCCAGTCTTTATGTTGTTCTGGCATGCTTGTCATTATATTACCGTAGATTTATTGGGATTTGTGGCTAGCAAAGTTGGGACTCCACAGTGGCGCAGTTGGTAGCACTGTTACCTTGCAGCAAGAAGGTTCTGGATTTGATTCCCAGCCCTGGTCTTTCTGCATGGAGTTTGCATGTTCTCCCTGTGCATGGTGGGATCACAGTCCAAAAACATGACTGTTAGGTTGATTGGTCTCTCTAAGTTCTCCTTAGGTGTGAATGCATGTATGATTATTTGTCCTATTTGCCTATTGCCCTGCCTCATCCATAAATAGCTGAAGATGGGTACCATCACGCCTGGCAGCCTCAATAGGGATAATAAGCGTGTTAGAAAATGATGGATGGATAATAAAGTATTACCAGTAGTAGAGTAGGAAATTGAGCTGTCAAATTATTTAACTCGAGCATGAGCATACAGGGTAAAGAAACCCTGTGGAACTCCATGACTACCTCAGTCTTCTGAGAAAGATCAATCATCCTCAATAACAAAACTAGAATGCATAGTTTAAATATAAATGAAATCAGTGATGTTCCCATATGTGGCTTGCAAAAGTATTCACACCCCTTGAACTCTTTCATATTTGTCACATTACAACCACAAACATAAATGTATTTCACTGGAATTTAACACGAACAAAATCAACAAAAAAGTGGTATACAATTATGAAGTAGAAAGAAAATTATACATGATTTAAAATATTTAAAAATAAAAAAACTGAAAAGAAATGAAATGAAATGAAATGAAATTTTATTCGAACATGATACAAATATAAAATAAAATAGTGCACAGTAACAAGAAGTGCATAAGAAAGAAGAGAAAATACAGATTTTTTTGTTTCAGTTAACATATCATGCTCAAAATGGGGTAGGAAGAAGTGAGAACTTATAAACTCCTACCCCTAAACACTTGAAACTTTAGAGTCCTACTGTCATTAAAAAAATCAAAATGTGCAAAATTGTTCAGCCCCCTTTCCTCTGAGTGCAACCAGTTGTCTTCAGAAGTTGCCTGATGATTGCTAATGACTAAATAGAGTCCACCTGCATGGAATCAAATCTTAGCACAAATCCAGCTGCACCGTGACGCCTCAGAGGTTTGTTAAGGAAATATTGGGGACAAAACAGCATCATGAAGTCCAAGGAACACAGCAGATGGTTCAAGGAGAAAACTGCGGAGACGTTTAAAGCAGTCTCAGGCAATCAAATAACTTTCCAAGATTTTAACATCTCATTGTTCAATCCATCATCCAGAGATGAAAAGAGTATGGCACAACTGTAAGCCTACCAATATGAAAAAGGACAGCACTGATTAGAGATGCAGCCGAGAGGCCCATGGTAACTCTGGACCAAATGCAGAGGTCCACAGCTCAGGTGGGAGAATATGGCCACAGGACAACTATTAGCCTTCACTGCACAGATGTGGTCTTCATGGACCAGTGGCTAGAAGAAAGCCATTATTAAAAGAAAACCGTTAGCAGTTTTTGACAGAACTCACGTTGGCGGCGCAGCAAACATGTGAAGGAAGCTACAGTTTTGGTCAAAATGTAAAACCCTAACACTGCACATCACTCTGAACCCACCATCCACTCTGTCAAATATGGTGGTGGCAGCATCATGCTGTGGGTGTGCTTTTCTTCAGCAGGGACAGTGAAGACGGTCAGAGTTGATGGGGAAAATGGATGGAACTGAACACAGGGCAATGTTGGAAGAAAACATTTTCCCCAGTGCTGAGTAGGTGATAAATATTCAAAATGAAACTTCTCAAATGAAGAAACTTTTTTATAACTACTCAACAGCAACAATTTTCCCAGATTTTTTAAAATTTAAGTTTAAATAGACAATAGGTAGCAACTTAGTGTAAATTAAGATCATTTTTCTTTTATCACACCAACATTGAGCCCAGTTATGATGAAAATAATTATACCACGACTATCACTAACAATTAAAACACTGTAGACAGATCAATAAATGTATACCATTTTATTTATTTTATGAAGTTAAAATTGTACAATTAGCACATGTCCATGATCCTCCTCATGCTCATAAACCTGGTTCCTCCATATCCCATCTCCCTGAAGCTCCTGTACTCTCCAGGCCTCATGTACATCATCCTGCCTCTGTAGTGGGGCTGCTCGTACATCAGCCAGTGGCCATCCATCACATGGCAGGACATGCAGTCAGACATGCGGTAGCGGTCCATGATGGAGTCACAGTCATCCATCATCTCATACATCTGGCCACCAAAGTTCTCCCTCTCATAGATCCTCATCCTGTAGGATCCCCTGTACTGTTTGCAGCAAATAAACATAATGAAAATCCAGTATCTAGTTGCCCCAGTCTTAGAAATGTATAACTTATAGTTTAAAACGTACCGAAGGGATCATACGGCAAGACCTGATTCCACCACTCCAGCCCATCATGCTCATGTAGTCAGCATACTCTCCCCTCCTCATGAAGTACTGGTTTCCCATGTAGTTGGGGCGGTCGTAGACCATGAAGCAGCCGCTCTCCACCCTGCAGGAGTGACACCTGCTCAGGTAGGAGGACATGTCAGCACAGTCGCTCATGCATTCATAGTGGCGACCCTGGAAGTTTCTGTCCTCGTAGAAGATGATCTGTGAGAGAAAAGGTTTTTTTTTTTAGAGATCACAGCCACTATCAGGCCTTTCCAGATGAGTATTGTAGGTAGTCTACCATTGATTTAAAAATGTTTACCTTGCCCATGGTGGTGGTGGTGGCTTGTCAGGTCACTCAGAGTACTGTAGATGAACTGATACCCTGCCTGCCTGAGTATCTTACATTTATACCTGACAGTAGACAAAGACAGTGTACCCCTCTATTGTTCAAATTCCTGACCTGGCAAAATACTATTGAAGCCTAGAGCATTTTGAGTTGCTTACACATATAGCAGTGGGGCCATGACCATTGTTTAGAAATTTCTTTTAAAAGCATTTTTTTTTATGGAAATTGAGTTTGTCTATAATTGATGACCTCATGAATGATGATAATGTTATTCCTAATAGCATAGAAAAATAGAAATTGCTTTTGTATTATTTGTGACGGTGAATAGAGAAAGACATGTTTCATTTGTTGCTGTCTGTACACAAACTTAAACACTGAGTTAACCCTTAACGTTGATGATTTTTATGTCAACATTTTGCATGCCACAGACTGCATGCAAATGTTTCATTTGTCGTTTGTACAGTAGTCATGTAACCAGCCTTTGTGTGTGACACACACATACTCAACAGCTGATCTGAGATGCTATGACTTTTTTCTACAGTATAAAAATGTATTTGACTTTAGCAGTGTTTTGATATTAGGTGTTGCACAAAAGCACTATATGTTGATGCATTGCTAATATGTATCAAGATAATTTGATATGACTAATAGACTTGACCTTTAAAGTGTTAGTTTTTTTTCATATCTTTGAGGAACAGTAGATGGAGGATGAATAAAAAATAAAATTGGTTATATCTGCAAGAGGTGGTGATGTATTCAGCGTGTTAGTAATGGACTGGTTGACCTTGACAGAGTAAAACAGCTGACTACCAGCCCTACCATGTGGATAATAGGCATGTCTCTTAGCAGGGTACGTTATGAATATCAAGCAAAAAATAGAAAAAAATCCTGGACAACCAACCTGCTTCTGGGTGCAAAAAAGTTGACAAAGTTCCACAAAGATTTTAATATTTTGATATAAGATCATAAAGAGATCAGATTAATTGAGGTCCACATAATCTACACCTAGTCACTTTCTGACTTTCCAGTGCTAGCTATCAGAAGTTTATAAAAACTAAATAAGTCTGACTCTCGTTTTTTCAAACTTTATTTGCAAAATTAAACAGAACAATAAAATGATCAGAGATGCATATTACAGCATTTATAGCCCAGCTTCCTTGCTGAGGTGATAGTCCTACTGCGGTGACCCTAAAGTATGCATGTTCTCTCGATGGAAGAGGTTGTTCTCTCTATATGCTCTGGTCTCTGAGTGTGACCGTACTGTCCTGTCCATTACAGACAGGCACCAGGCCCTGCAACCCAACAGAGGTAAGACGGGTATGGACAGGCCATTCATTTTTGACATGGGTTGTTTTCAAACCACTCTTTAAAAGCTTAAACATAAATCGCCTTTAATATGTTTGTTTAATTAAAAACCTGATCCTGTTAGGTAAACCCATGAGCCCACCTTGTTTTAATTATAACCAAGGGTGCGTTATCTTTACCTCTAAGTGAGTTGCTAGTCATCAAGATAGAAATGGAAGTCAATCCTTGTACCTCTCCACAGTTCAGGTGAAGCGACACACGTGAATCATTTTAGAATCACTAATTTCACTCTGTATTTTTTTTTATGTCGATGTTCAAGGGATCTCTAAAGTCACAGAGAGAGAGAGACAACTACAAATAAGTTGTACCTACCTGCCCACCTAACAGTGACACAATGAACCCCTTCCTCCTGAGCCAATGTTGCCCCAGATAATGTTAATATATTTTGTAATACTAATAATAATTTGTTTTATTTTAAGTACCTTTCGGGACTCTCAAGGTCGCTTTACAGTAAAAAACCACAATAGGATTGAATGCACTTATGGTGTTATTTAGCTTTAATTATGCTTCTTGTTTTAACAGGCGTTGCAATATTACAATAACACGGAGCAATATTTTTTAAGGGGCTCTGTTGCTTAGGAGATTTTGATGATTTAGACACTTTGTATTGTCATTTATGTCACTATCACAGCAAAGCTCAAAATATTTGGATAAAACTATAAGTATATATTTCTAATCCTCGTCTCCGGGCTCTTCTTCCACTCTATTCTGGCTGGCTGAACAATTTCCAGTTCGGGCTTCCTTTTTCCAAACACATCATGTCAGATTTGATCCATATTAAAGTGTTTTTCAAAATTTTATTGCAATAATGCATCTTAAACATAACGTAAATACAGTATTGAATGTCTAGAATTAGCAGGTAATTTAAAGGTTAAATTTGACAGCAGTTGATGTTTTATTTGTAAGAAAATGTCAGATTAAGGTATTTGAGTTGTAAAACAGAAAGTTATTTGGGGAAACATCTCAGTATTAGGGAATTAATGTTATTTTGTACCTGGTAATGACACGTGCATACTGGATAGACAATAACATGAGGGATTCACTCTTTAATCTTTATCTGCAAGTGAGTGAGCAGAAAAGATTTTTCACTAAAAGTGCATTCTGTCATTGATTTGCAGACAGCTTGATTTTGATCATATTTGATCAAAATTATCATCTTTATTTAAGGTTCTGACAACCGTTAAGTGACAGAGTTGGGTTGCTGACTCGTGATTTAATGCGGTGGTTGGTCCTCAGCTCCCACTGTCCCATGCGTTTTAAATGTGTCTCTGTTCCTCATCAGATCCTAAAGACTGCATGACCTCCTCTGCATTTCATTAAGTGTTGCTGAAAGGCTGGTAATCAATATGTTATTTATGTCAGCAAGGAAACACTTAAGACATGCAGGGCAGGAGGCTTGAGGTTGCAAAGAGGAATTTATTGTACCCTCTTTGCAACTTTTCCAGAAATAAAAAATAATAATAATAAAAAATCAAGCGTTGTAGAAAAGATAGAAAAGAGAATGAATAACTTTATTGAAATTTAGTGGTAGGAATCCATGATCCTCCTCATGCTCATGAACTTGGTTCCTCCATATCCCATATCCCTGAAGCTCCTGTACTCTCCAGGTCTCAGGTACATCATCCTGCCTTTGTAGTGGGGGTGCTCGTACATCAGCCAGTGGCCATCCATCACATGGCAGGACATGCAGTTGGACATGCGGTAGCGGTCCATGAAGGAGTCGCAGTCGTCCATGCACTCGTGCATCTGACCACCGAAGTTCTCCCTCTCATAGATCCTCATCCTGTAGGATCCCCTGTACTGTAAAAGGATTTGAGAAACCCAGATTAGATCAGGCTTTGGCAGTAAAAGTAAAACGTTGTGTAGAAAGGAGACGCAGTACCATGGGGATCATACGGCAGGACCTGATGCAGTCAGACATTCCCATCATGCTCATGTAGTCGGCATACTCGCCCCTCCTCATGAAGTACTGGTTTCCCATGTAGTTGGGGCGGTCGTAGACCATGAAGCAGCCGCTCTCCACCCTGCAGGAGTGACACCTGCTCAGGAAGGAGGTGAGCTCTGCACAGTCGCTGCTGGTCTCATAGAAGCGACCCTGGAAGTTCCTGTCCTCGTAAAAGATGATCTGAGAAGACGAAATCATCAACTGGAATCAGTTTATTTTTTATACAAATATAAATTTGGCATCCTTACATTTAATTGAAAATGTTGATGACTTTCATGATCAGCCTACCTTGCCCATGATCCTAGTCTTCAGTTGGTTCCTGTAGAACTGAACTGTGGCTGATGTGTGGTCCTGGCACTGGCTACCGTTACTTTTATACTTGCTGAAAATAAAAATGTATGTTGGCCTTCTATTGTGTGAAGTCCCCACTCAGCAACATGCCATAAAAGACTATAGAGCTGCCAGGGCATTAAAGGGTCATTATCCAGCACTACGCTCTTCTGGTGGAAATGCATGCATTGCATACGTACAGCATTGTTGCTAAGCATAATGAAAAATAACGAGAAACTTCTAAACCTAATATGACACCTGGGCTGCTTTATGTTATATTTTTATTAGCAAAACAAAACTCTGGACTAGAGAATGTAACACTTACATTTAATAAATTTCAAATAAAACAGGATTTCACTTCAGATACTTCAGAGATAAAACTAAATATTTCACATCCATGATGACATTTCAAGAAAACCATGCAGAGTGCATCTGTGTTTTAAGGATCTTGAAAACTGGCTGAACCAATTCATACTGACAGATCGAAGCAATAAACCCAATGGAATCAGATATTGCTGCTTTTAAAGCTATTACAAGAGGTATGTTAATGAGATTTATATACGGTCAGTAACAAAACACTTTGCAGCAAATTTAAAATTGCAGGCCTAGAGCCGCTCTGGCGGGTTCGAGACTTGCCACCTCCTTGAGTTTACATCCAAACTCTGAGAGTGCAATCCAAAATGGATGACTTCCTGTCAGGTTCGAAAGAGGCAACAAAAGTGTATCTGGTATTGTGTACAATAAGAAGGCTGTCATTTAATAAGGTTAGAGTGATTCATCCACTTTAATATGTAAAGTGGATGAATCGCGTCCTGATCTTAATGAACAAAGATGAAATTATGACAATGATGACATAGATGTGCTAAGGAGTGCATTGTGATAACAGACTGACGGTTTGGTGGTGCTTTTACCTTGTACTTGGTGTTTATGACAAAGTCTGATTTCAAGGCTGAGGTGCACTTAAATACTTTGTTGAAGAGCCAAGCTGCATATAGTCTGCAGTTTATTACCGTAAGATTAATTTTTTTAAGTTGCTAAGAAGAAATGCATAGGAGGCGTATGCTCAAACAAAACGTGTAAATTTCACAAAATGGTCCATTTGAACTAAAATGGGCAAAATGGACTGAGTCTCATATGTGTGCCACATTTCATAAGCCTCTGTCAACTGACAGATCGAAACAAGCATTGTAGAAAAGATAGAAAAGAGAATGAATAACTGTCAAAATGATCCACGATTAGTTATAAAAATAGACCTTATTTTGGAAATATTTATTTTAGATATAAAAACAATACAGTAATAATACTGTAGATTATTTAGTTTTCATAAATTTTATTAAAATATTATCTGTCTTCTTCCTCAAACCGAGGAAGAGGACAGAGTTGGCTGTAGCAGCTGGTGTTTTGCTGCTGCCTTCCACTTTATAA